CCACCCATCCATCTACCCACCCACCATCCATTCACTCACCTCTCTGTCCATTCATCCACACATCTATCCATCCATAATCTACCCACTCATCCACCCATCCATCATCCATCCATTCAATTATCTGTTCATCCACCCATCCATCATCAATCCACCCACCCATCCACCAGTGCCCATCCACCGATCCACTTATCATCCATCCATCCATCCATTCATGCATGCATCGCCCATCCCCTCATTCATCTATCCAGCCAGTGTTCACTTAACACCTGCGTGTACCAGGCCCTGACAAGGAGTAAGGCCTGCCCTTGTTTCATGGTGATGGACAAATAAACAGTCAGTTCCAGCTTCTTGTGGTCAGGACCAGCAGGAGGGGTGGCATCAGTTGGGGACGACCTCCCAGAGAGGCAACATTTGGGGCCTTTCAGGATGTCCAGGCTTAGGACAGCCTCTGAAGCCTTGTCCAGACACCTAGGCCAAGTCCCCCAGTCCCTATCAGGCCTGGCCACGTTGGCTATGCCAGGCCCAGGGTTCAAGCCCAAGAGTCAGGCCAGCAGCAGCAAAGCCATCCCTTTTTTTTTTTTTTGCCAGTCTTAGGGCTTGAGCTCAGGGCCTGGGCACTGTCCCTGGCCTTCTTTTGCTTGAGGTTAGTGTTTTACCACTTGAGTCACCGCGCCGCTTCTGGTTTTCTGGTAGTTAACTGGAGATAAAAGTCTTACAGACTTTCCTGCCCGGGCTGGCTTCTAACTGCAATCCTCAGATCTCAGTCTCCTGAGCAGCTAGGATTATACAAAGCCATTACCTTCCATCTGCAGAGCACGTCCCCAAGCCAGAGTGGAGGGCAGAGCAGGAGGCAGCAGCCATGTCCCAAATGCTCAGTTAAGTGAAATCCTGAGCCCACTGTGAGCTGGGAACTGGCCCAAGACCACCCAGCATGTGGGTAGTGGTGAGGGGGTGCTGGGCACAGTGGTTAGGGGGCGGGGCTAAGAGAACAGGTACATCACTCACAACTGGGGCTGCCTGTTCTCTGGCAGTGCCCACCTCAGCCAATGGGAATCACCTGCAGCCCTGTGTCCCCCTCTCCTCCCTGAAGTTCACCCCCTCCCCAGGCAGCTGTACTGAGCTTCTGACCAGCCCCAGCCCCTCTGCTTCTACCTATCCATCCACACATTTATCCATTTATCCCTCTGTCCATCCATCCACCCATCCACTTATCCATCTATCCACCCACCTGCCCATCCCTTCCCTTATCTGTCAAGCCAGTGTTCACCCAGCACTGAGCACAATTCTACGCCAGGCCCCTGACAAGGAGCTTCTGGGCTGGGCCGTGCTAGGCCCCTCAGCCGTACTTCTTCCGTTTGGCTCTGTGTGTGTGTGTGTGTGAGGTAAGGAAGGAGTCCCTCGCCAAAACCCACTTTCCTGCCACTGTGTGTGGTGATGGCAGGGACGCTCTAGGCTCTGCTGCCAGGGGGAGGCGGCCGGGTCCCGGGACACTGAGCAGCTCACTGACCCAGAACAGCAACCAGCTGGCAGTGGGCCACCTCGGATGGCTTCCTGCCCAGTTAATGGATCACGCATTATGTCTCCATAGATCTTCCCAGGACCCCACAAGAGAGCTAGTGCTGGGGCCCAAAGACACCAGAGGGAAGTGGGCAGATGCTAGCTCCAAGCGTCCTGGGGTCCCTGTGAGGTAAGGGTAGGCCCAGTCCATGTCTTCAGGACCTGGTGGGCCTGACTCTAATAAGTGTCCCCAGCTTCAGGGGAAGGAAAGGACCTCAACTCAATTTGAATATTACAGTGTCCCCCTGCAGAGGGGACAGGCACTTTCCAGACTACCACAAGCCAGTGTGGCTTTCTCTGGTGACATGACTGACCAATTCTCCAACCCACCTCAACAGGCAGGTCTCATTGAATCTGGCACCCGGCCATCAGGAGCCCTAAGTCCCTGCAGAGAGGCTATGCCCAGAGGATCCCACATCCGGGGCCTTAAGACCATGCTGCCACTTTGCAGCATTGCCAATGAACACCTTTAAAAAAATGGGTGGGGCTGGGAATGTGGTTTAGTGGTAGCGTGCTTACCTAGCATGCATGAAGTCCTGGGTTTGATTCCTCAGGACCTCATACACAGAAAAAGCTGGAAGTGGTGCTGTGGCTCAAGTGGTAGAGTACTAGCCTTGAGAAAAAGAAGCTCTAAGACAGTGCCCAGGTCCTGAGTTCAAGCCCCAGGCCTGGCAACAACAACAACAAAGATGGTAGCCAGACACCAGTGGCCCATGTCTGCCATCTTAACTACTCAACAGGCTGAGATTCAGAGGATTGTGTTTCCTTGCCATTCGGGCAGAATTGTCTGGGAACCATCCATCCTAATGAAACCAGCAAATAAAGCTGGGCTGGGGGCACAGCTCAAGCAGTAAAGCAGCACCAGAGAACTGAATAAGCAAGCTGGATGAATGTGAGGTCCTGAGTTCAAATTGTCAGTACTGAAGAAAAAGGAAAGCGGTAGTGGCATTAGGTGGAAAACTGAGTCTCAGGGCACTAAGGCCACAGGTTAAAGACAGAGAGGTGGCCCCTGAAGGGTTGGGTAAGTAATGGTCATGTGGTCCTCCTGCCTGGGACTGGGACAAAGGACAGCCTCCTTCCCAATCCCCTTCGGAGGCCCCAAGGGGCTTCCTGGGTAACCTGGTCAGCCCTCACCAGCTATCTCCACTCCCCATTTCCTGTACCTCCACTCCCTATTTGGGTAGAGAGTCCCTGGAGGGAGATCTGGGGGTGTGGGGGCAAGGGGAGTGCCTAGGCTGGAGCTGAGTGGGGAGGAGGTAGGGGCAGCCGGCCAGCCTCCCCCCTCCAGTTTTCAGACCTTAAGGAGTCACCACAAAATTCCATTCTCCTGACAGCAAAGAAATGGAATCATTCTCGCCAAAGCCTGCAGCCCCCACAAGAATGCTACCAGACTTTGCCCTGCGGTTCTCATACAAGTGACTGGAGCCATGTCCCCCACAGACCCCCGCAGGCATGGCTGCAGGGAGCCTCAGGAAACTCCGGGCTAGCTCCACACAGGACCCACAGCACAGGGCTCCTCGAACAACACCCTTGTCCCTGTCCAAGCCTGCCTCCTTCCTTCCTTCCTTCCTTCCTTCCTTTCTTCCTTCCTTCCTTCCTTGTGTGTGTCAGTTGTCAGACTTAAACTCAGGGCCTGGGTGCTGTCCCTGAGCTCTTTTGCTCAAGGCTAGTGCTCTACCACTATGAGCCATAGCGTCCCTTCCAGCTTTTTGGTGGTTAATTGGAGATAAGAGTCTCATATATTTTTTTGCTCTGGCTGGCTTTGATTCAGATTTGTAGCTCTCAGCTTCCTAAGTAGCTGGGATTACAGGTGTGAGCCACTGGCTCCTGCCTGGCATCAGTTTGCTTTCTTTTTTTTTTTTTCTTTTTTTGCCAGTCCTGGGGCTTGAACTCAGGGTCTGGGCACTGTCCCTGAGCTGCTTTTGCTCAAGGCTAGCTCTCTACCACTTGAGCCACAGAGCCAATTCGGGCTTTTTCTGTTTATGTGGTACTGAGGAATCAGACCCAGGGCTTCATGCATATGCTAGGCAAATACTCTATCACTAAGCCACCTTCCCAGCCCCAGTTTGCTTTCTTTAAAATGGGCAAATGGGGGCTGGGAAGGTGGCTCAGTGGTAGAGCGCTTGCCTTGCATGCCTGAGGCCCTGGGTTCGATTCCCCAGCACCACATAAGCAAAAAGAAAAAAGCCAGAAGTGGTGCTATGGCTCAAGTGGTAGAGTGCTAGCCTTGAGCTGAAGAGCTGAGGGACAGTGCCCAGGCCCAGAGTTCAGGCCCCACGACCGGACCCCCCAAAAAAAAATAAATAAAATGGGCAAATGGCCCTATGTGGCTGAGCCACAGGAGCTGGGGTGTGGTGGGGGAGCATGAGAACCTGTGCTGGGGGGCTTAAGCAGCCCCACTCCCTGGCTTGGGGGCCCACCCGGATTCCCAACACTTGGTCAAGTGAGTAAGCATGGGAGGTGTGACCGTCCCTCGCTTGCTCCGGCTCCCTTGATGTAATGAATAAATGGAACAGTAAGCCAGGGACCCAGAGGACCCAGAGGCCAGGGTACAGGCTGCCAAGCAGTCCAGGGGAGAGAGGAGAGATGAGTGGTGGAGAAGGTGAGGTGATCAGAGACAGAGGTTTGCAGTGGAGATAAGAGCAAAGACCTCCCCCCGCCCCCCAGGCTGCAGCTGGGCTGAGCGGACTACTTATGGGACAACAGGTAGGTCCCTTTCCTTCTCGCCCACCCCCATGGCCCTATAGCCTCTGGCAGGCTCCAGGAGTGCGCTGGGACTGGCGGGGGAGGGGTTTATAGCAGAAGGTGACGCCTGGGAGACTTGTCACTTGGGCAGTCGGCACCATCTGCTCTGGCATCTGCCTACCGAGGTGGAGTCTGCTAATTACCTGGGGTGGGCAGGAAGAGGCCTGGGAACCACCGTTCCCATCCCTCCCCATCACAGAGGGGCTGGGGTGGCCCTAGAGCAAATGGGCCACAGCGCTGTCCCCAGAGACCAGAGAGACCAGGCAGACATCTATTCAACGTCTGTGTATGTACACGTGCGTGTGTGTGCGTGCATGCGCGCGCGCGCGCACACACACACATTGGCCCTAGGGCTCAGTCCTGAGCATTTTTGCTCCAGGCTAGCACTCTACCACTTTGAGCTACCGCTTTACTTCTAGCTTTTGGCTGGTTAATTGGAGGTAAGAGTCTCCTGGACTTTCCTGCTCAGGCCGAATTCGAACGGTGATCCTTAGATCTCAGCCCCTTGAATAGCTAGGATTACAGATGTGAGCCACCAGCTCCCACATCAGCAAGTCCTAGAGCTCTACAAGCCCCAGGACCGGCCGCGTTCCGAGGTCGCTGTCTGGCAGTTGACTACAAATGACTGCAGGCCGAGCGCCTAAGTGTTCAGGAAGGGTTAGCCCGTGGCCGTCGTGGCAGGCGCTGGCCTCCTGCGCATGGGACGAGGAGGCCGGAGTCGAGGGGACCCAGACGCAGCCCGGCGGAGAGCCGCCCCCAGCTGCAGTGCGGAGGCTGCGGCCGGCGGCAGAGGCTCCTCCTGCTCCCACTCCGGGGACCCTCGGCCGCTTCCGGGCCCGGAGCCCCTCGCCCTGGCTTCCCGCGCACATTCCTGCGCCCCCGCTCGTGCAGGGGGGCGGCCCGGGCCCGTGGGAAGGGCCGGGGGCCGCGTGCCAGGGAGGCGGAGCAGGGAGGGCGCACAGCTGGGTCACATCTGTCCCGAGCGCATTAGGACCAAATGGGACAGAAGGCCGCCTTTCATCCTGAAAGGAAAGGGGGAGGCCTTAAGTTTCTCCTGGCTGTATGGCGCCCGACGTTTTCGGGACCAAGCCCCACCCCACACCCCGTGCAGGGGGAGTGGGGTGCATGTGCTTTCTCGCTGGACACTCGGGGCGGCCCCACCTGCGGCACAGGTGGCGAACACACCTCCAGCTCCAGCTCATACCAATGGATCGGCCGCGGCCGCCCCAAGGGGTAGGAAGCCAGTCGCGGGAGAGGAAGTGCGCGCCTGCGGGGCGTCGGAGCCCGGAGCTCGAGTCCCAGCACCCGGGTCACCAGGCCCAGGGCGCGCCCCGCCGCGTGCAGCCGCGGCCGGCGTTAGCAGCCTGGGTGCCTTCCTCCCCACCCCGCCCCGCATTCAGCGCATCCGGTGCAGCGGAGACCGAGCCCCACGCCCCTCGGAGGTCCGCCGGGAGACGACCCGGCGGGGCGGGGCGTGCACGGGCGCAAAGGGGGCGGGGCCCTGGACCCCCCGGCGGGCCGTTCCCAGCCCCCCGCCGCGGCCCCCACGTGGGCGCTGCCGGGCTGGGAAGCAATTCCGACGCCACGCCCACGGGGGGGGTGCCGCCCTCAGCGAGGAGCCAATGAGCGCCTGGGGGCGTGGCCAGCGGGGAGGTTTAAGAGCGCCGAGCGCGGGCGGCGCGCAGCGCAGCTGGACCGTGCGGCAGGGACTGGGGTCCTCGGGCGCGTGGACCCTCAGGGCAGGCGCAGCG